GAGTTCATAAAGAGCAATATTTTAAGTTTCCCCCTTTTAATGTAGTTTTCTTTTAGACAGATTGAATATTAGATAAAATATATTGTAGGCTTTCTAGCATTTGTTTTTCAATTGATATTTTACTGTTCCACATTTTTTTTCAGAATCAGTGTGATACCTAATTTTAGTTTTACATCATTACACAATAATCTAAAACAATGTTACTGTCTCAGGGAGAACTTCCAGTCGCTTCAGAAGGATCTGGCAGAGATGATCGTGTTAAGTCTGGAGAAGCGTGGAGGGGACAGCTTCAAAAAGAGGAAGACCCTGTCCACCAAAATCCGCCGGAGGGAGACCAACAGCAGCGCGCAGAGCGACAGCCTGCCAGAGTACTTCCACCTAGCTGTCACTGAGAACCCGAGCACCTACCTGTGATCATAGAAGAGCTTTCAGCACAAGATGTAGACTTTGTACAAGTTTGTCAAGTTAGATTCAGGACTGCTGGGTTTCTTCGGACAGCTTTGTTCATTCATCGGTTGGAGAGACGACGCCGGAGCAGCAGCACTTCTCTTCATCCCCAACAGCCTAACGCCTTGAGATCAACTCGCCTTACTGATCCTTTAAAGATGTTAAGTAGTTACTGTTGTGGTACAAAGAGTGGCATATTTATATACAAATGTTTCTCCATAAGCGATCCAGATAACGTGGACGAGGATACCCAGTGCACTCTTCTTTACTTTGAGACATCCTTCTGTTTATGTTTCAATGTTGCCTGCAGGAAGCTCACTGATTGAGCAACATGTGATAAAGAAAATATATATTTATCGTATAAATATCTTTTTCTGCTTCAAAGACAGTGGAACTCTATCGAAACAGTCCTCATCAAGACCATTTTGCACTGTAATGATGCTACCTTTCCGTTTTCACAGCATCAGAAATATTTCTGTGTTGATTTTTAGTTTGTTTTATTAAAACATGTTTGAAATACGACACAAGAATTAAAGCAGTTCCTGTACTTTTCCTGTACAACGGCAAAAACAACAAACTATACAGTCACCTGCTACACTATTTCTTTCACACAAGCAGTGCAGAGGAATAAAAACAGCTGTAGAAAATCGTAATCTTATTTTTTAAAACCCATAAAAACATGGTAGAAACACAGAAATCTCAGTATACTGAGTACAACGTGCAGTATAAATGCATGAATATACGTTTTTAAGAACACAGTTATGTTTTCATCTCTTTAGAGAATATTACTTCGACCTTCGACCAGTACTCATGAAAGCTGTACCCCAACCTGAAGCCAAGTCTTCACTCTAAGGTTTAATGAACTTGCTTTTTGCCCACAAAAGGGAGAGGTGTGGCCACAATGTTAGTGAGCAAACAAATGTGTTTCCCCACAGCGTGCTCAAAGAGTACGACCACACACCCGCAGCCTTACATGGTTTTAGTTGTAACTAAAGCAGTGCCACCCAGCTCTGTGGCAGGAAGTGGGATCCTGTGCTCCGCCATTGTGCTGCATGCAGGCGAGTCTCCGCCCACCTCTGCTCCACCACGCATCATGAGGTCCCTGCAAGCTGTGAAGCCATTCTCCCACTCTGAGCCTGTTTGGCTCCCAGAGTGCACGTGAGAGCAGGGTGATGGGGCCTCTGCCGCTCTCTGAAATATCTCAGCTTGACCGTTTCTTTCTGAGGGCAGAGGGAGCAGTTTGGCAGGTGGCTGCGCTTTCTGAAGAAGTTCCTGTCTTGGCATGCCATCCTCTGTGACACAAACAACAGAAAAACTGTCACTGAACGTTCACGCTGAAAGACTCCGCAGCCATTCGCAACATTATACCCCCCTTATTTCCTCAATTGATCAATAAAGTGCTTTTTTTATATATGAAAGCTAATCATGTTTTTCTTTAAATTAAAGGTTCATAACATGCTTTAAAAGAATTACACGAATGTCTATCAAAACAGTTAACGAGGTCATGAGATTGATGAGTATATAAATCCTCTGTATGAAAAAGAGGATTTCTTCTGACTGGTTGCCCCTCAAAAACAGAAGGTTAGCACAGAAAGTGGGCGGGACTTCTCACAGGCAGAACTGCGGGCCTGGGATGAATATATTGCCCCTTTAAAGGCTGTACCATTAAAAAAATTGCCACAAAATTCGATTTTTTTTAGTTGATTGTTCAGTGAACCTCCTGACAATTTAAGAAAATTAATTATTAATTTGCATATATGAGTTTTAATTTACATCCTATTTGCTAAATTCCTAATTTTTCATCTCTTAGAGAAAACTTTACTGTGACTTAAAAAAAACAGCTCAGTACGAGCTGTTATCAAAGTAAAGATTGGGAAAAATGTAGGCGTGCAACTAAAATGTTTGAACTACTGCACTGCATTGTGTGCAGAACAAAAAGCAGCTAAGCTAGTAATGTTTTTACATTCCATATTTCCTGTGGTAAGAGGTGTGAGTCGACAGATTATTCACTGACGCAAAGGATGCCCAAGTGACTTGAGCTTCTCCTCAGCCCTTTCTTTGTTTTTCCTTTTTTTTTAAAATTAAGTTAAGACTGAATGAGAGCTGCATTCCAGGAGATTGAAAAAAAATGGCCACAGTCATGTTGGTGTATTTACGAAACACAAAAACTCGTGTGTCTGATTCAGGCCATCATCAGACACAGAGGCCTTTAAAAGCAGCTGCTGTTGGCTGTCAGACTGTCAGTTTTAGTTTCACAGGTTTTGTGTTTTCACAAAGTAAATCTGTAGCATTCAAATGTTCAGCCTCGGGCTATGCAGTGCTGTGAGAAAGTAATTGCACCCCTTTCTGATTTCTTAGTTTTTTTGCATGTTTGTCACAGCTGCGTTTTTCGGATTATCAAACACATTTTAGTATTTGACGAAGAAAACCTGAGTAAATACAAAATGCTGTTATTATAATGGATTCATTTATCAAGGGAAAAAATCTATCCAAACATGCATGGCCCTGTATGAAAAAGTCATTTCCCCGAAACCTAATAACAGGCTGTGCCGCCTTTGGCAGCAACAACTGCAATGAAGCATTTGTGATAACTGCCAATGAGTCTTTCCCATTACTGTGGAGGAATTTTGGCCCACTCTTCTTTGCAGACTTGTTTTAATTCAGACACACTGGAGGGTTTTCAGGCATGAATGCCAAAAGATCTCAATTGGATTTAAGCTCAGACTTTGACTAGGCCACTCCAAAACATTTATTTTAGGTTTCTGGAGTCATTCAGAGGGGACTTGCTGGTGTGTTTTGGATCATTGTCCTGCTGCATAACCCAAGTGCACTTGAGCTTCAGGCCATGTGCTGATGCTCGAACATTGTCCTTCAGGATTTACTGCTAGACAGCAGATTCCATGGTTCCATTTACAGCAAGTTATCCATGTCCTGAAGCAGCAAACAGCTCCAGACTGTCACACTATGAACACCATAATTGACTGTTGTTATGATGTTGTTTTTATGAACTCCTGAGTTAGTTAGTGCCAGGCATAACGGGACTCAAATCTTTAAAAAAAATTTCATTTTTTGTCTTATCAGTCCACAGAATATTTTCCCAGAAGTTTTCGGGATCATCAAGAAGTTTTTTGGCAAATATGAGACGAGTCCTTTTGTTCTTTTTGGTCAGCAGTGGTTTTCATCTTGGACCTATTCCATGGATGCCATTTTTTGCCCAGTATCTTTCTTATTGTTGAATCATGAACTTACCCTGCAGTTCTTTAGATGCTGTTCTGGGTTATTTTGTGACCTCCTTGATGAGTGAAGGATGCGCTCTTGGAGTAATTTTGGTGGGCCAGCCAATCCTGGGAAGGTTCACCACTGCTCCACGTTTTCTCTATTTGTGGGTAATGGCTCTCACCATGGTTCAGTGGAGTTCCAAAGTTTTCAAAATTGCTTTGTTGTGTTGATAGACCTCTCTGCATTGAACCATACTTGTTATTAATCTGTGGCTCTCTTCCACAGCATGTCTTTTATTCTGTCTTCCTTCTCTCTCCCCAATTGGTCATGGCAGATGGCCGCCCCTCCCTGAGTCTGGTTCTGCTGGAGGTTTCTTCCTGTTAAACGGGAGTTTTTCCTTCCCACTGTCACCAAAGTGCTTGCTCATATTGGGTCATATGATTGTTGGGCTTTTCTCTGCGTCTATTATTGTTGGGTCTACTTTACAATATAAAGCGCCTTGAGGCAACTTTTGTTGTGATTTGGCGCTGGATAAATAAAATTGAATAGAATCTGTAACCATTTTCGAGACAAACAGATATCAATGACTTTGTCTCTCAGAGTTTTTTTAGATGGTGGCATGCTGTGCTGGTTTGAGATCTTTCAGCTTACTTCACTTTGTCATACCGGTTCTATTTAATTTTTTGAGCAAACAATTACTTTTTTCACATTTTTCACATATGGTTTGGATAACTTTTTTCCCCTTAAGAAGGGAAATACTCATTTCAAAACATCATTTTGTATTTAATAATGTTAAAATTTGTTAGTTGACCTGAAACATATAAATATAACCAAGCAAAAACACACAAAAAATAAGGAAGGGGCCAAATACTTTTTCACAGCCCTGTACAAACTCTGCATGGAAGAGTCTGTTTATGTGTTTTCAATGTTGTGTGGGGGGTGCCTACATTTTCTTGCCCAACCAGCGGATGTGTGCTGAAACCAGAATAGATGGTAAGGGAGCGGGACTGACCCTTGGGACAAGTGAGAAGAAGAGAACAGAAACTGTGGAGTTTCTACTGTGCTGAACGTCACAGTTCATCACCTGCCCTTCTGCAGCCCTGTTTCCTCCACCCGACTGTCAGCTCTGCGTTTCAGATCTCCTCTTTTTAAGTAAACCGACTTCTCTCCACAGCTTCAAAAAACACGTTGTCTCGTAAAATATGTATCTTAGGAAAAGACCTCTTATAACTTCACTAGATCACTAGATGTATTAAAGCATCTGATGTATATTTTGCTATTTAGTCTAATGAGCGGAATTTAAACAACTATAAAAGCCGCTTTCAGCTTCCTCCTTTTTCACAAGCGGTCGTCACAGCGGGGAGGTCTGCGTGTTTGATTTTGGTCGATTTTTACAGCGAATGCCCTTCCTGACACTACCCCAAAGGGATTTGTGTCTCCTCCTGTGATCGAACCAGGGATCTTTCACTTGTTAGGCAAACTTATAAACCGTAACACTCTAAGTGACACAAACCATCAAAAGCTTGTTGTCCTTACCGGAGGTGCTGCTGCGTCTGGTCTGTCGCTTGTATATGATAAACCAAAGAGTCAAAGCCAAGATGGACCCCACCACGACCACGACCACAGAAATCCACAGAGTCGGACTCAGCATCGCCATCGAGGTGGGTTTGACAGTGGTGTTTATGGCTTTGAGCTGGTTCACGACAGTCAGGGGCGGCTCTGTGAGGGGGGAGGACAGCCACACGCTGACTACCTCAACAGTTAAACAGTTTGCATTCTGACATGTAAGAAAAGTTTCAGAAAGAAAAAGGATGAACTCAAGTCTGACTCGCTCACTCATTTTATAAGCGGTTGTACAAGAAAAAAGAAGACGATAAGTTTGATGTATTAGGTAGTCAGGTAAAATTCAAGTCTACATGATAAAGTTGTAAAGACATGCTGAATCCACAACTGA